TTTTGTGTCCCAAAGCTCAGGCATCTTTGCCATATGTTAGGCACTTCTTCTGTCTTGCATGCTGTTTCCCTTAGTAGCCGCACTGGACCCTGGGGACCACATTCTCAGTGGTCCCATCTTTGTTCTGGCTCCCAGGCCTCTTCATATTGACCCTGTGAATTTGTTCTACACCAGCAATTGCTGTGATTGTTTCCTTAACTGATTCAGTTGCTTGTAAAATTTGGACACTTGCCCAGAGGCAGATCAGCCTCTCTAAACAATCTCTTCCCTAGGATAGGATCAGATGTCCCACAAATCATTCTGTCTCTAATAAGAGAGTTTGTTATGGTCCCCAAATTATACTGGATGCCAATGTTTTCAGCTCTGTAACATAATTATCTATTCCTCTTCTAAATCCTGATTCCCGGTTTAAAAAAAAACAACCCACTGTGCAACCCCCCACCTCAAAAGCCACCCCCTGCCCAAAAGAGTACCTTTCCACAGTCTCACTTTTAACTTAATGTTTACTTATCAAAAGCCCTCCTCAGCTGCTCTGACATATTAGGCCCCTCAGAAGTGTTGCATTCACTTCTATGCCCTTTGTCCCAATGAGGTAATGAGAAAGATTTATCTTTATTTTCTCATCTTGCCCAGCAGAGTCAGCCATGTGTATAAGTTTAGCTCTTCCTTCCAGTGCTTCCATGCTGCTGCCAGGTTTCTTGATGGAAATCCAAATATGCAAGGGGTCTGAGGCCCTCCATGCTGCCTGCTTTCTTCGCTGTGTGGGTGATGCTTCAAATCACACATTCTTCACTGTGGTTATCATCTGCTGCCACTGTGTTTCATGCAGACAGCTCTGTGCAGTTATAAAGTAACTCCATTTGGATTGCAAGCACTTGGATCTTCATTAGAAGAGTGGTCTGCTCGGTGCTGCTGTCTGCAGCCATGTGGTGCAGCACGTGATCAGAGCCATCCCCAAATCCTCCAAGAACATAGAGCTTCATGGTGTCACCTTGCAAATAATCCCCAGTACAACTCGTGTTCCAATCTGTAGGGACCTGCAGGTTGTTCAGCTAACCACAACAACCTCTGAGTTTGGCTGGCCCCTTGGATCAAAAAGGGTATTAAGAAAATAAAGCAAAAAATAAAAGGCAACAAAACAATACTGCTTGGGAACCAATCTCTTTGGGTTGATTTCCCCTCTGCCTTCCCTTTACTGTAAATGGAATTTTCAGGCCTATCCCAATAGCACCTTTAATGGAATTTCACCAGGGCAGAATGAACATGAGCTGTTTCAAAAATATGAATTAAAACATAATTAAAATGACAGTAAATGAGCATTTAACTACAATAGCATTTCTGGGTGACACTATTTTACATTGCTGTTCAAGTAAAAGTCTCTTAGGGCTGCAGAGAGATCAAGAAGTGAAGATATAGGTAATGTTACATCCTTGCACATCGTGTAACAGTGGAGAATAATTTTAGTATTTACCTGCGCAAAGCTTAGGAGTGTCAATTAGAGATAAAAATATATATTTAAAAGAAGGTAATAGCTGTAGCCAACTCCTGGCACACAAGGGTCTTTTTGCTTGGAATGTATGCCTCAGGGCAAATGGTGGGGAAGGGGTCGAGGTGCGCTGCCACGACAAAGATCAGGCCCTCACGGCTGCCCTGTCATCTGTCCCTGGCATGCCAACACCTTATAAGTCAAGGTTGCATGCATTTTTAGCACCCTGACCAAAAATGTTGCTGACCCCTGTAACAGAGTATTACTCCATCTCTTCCCAATAATCAAAACAACTTACCTAGTGCAATTGCTAAGCCCACAATGATGATGAGAAGGAAAGGAATTATACTGACAGTGTAGATGCAGTTGCCTTTTCTTTGTGTGTTCTTAAGTCCCTGTAGGAATGACCGCTTACCTGAAAGAAAAGCGGTGAATTTAGGATTATCACACTGAGAAACAGGGATGTAAATGAGATGCAAGTAGTGTTTAAGCTATAAAGACAGGTGTGTGTACAGGAAGCCTGAAACAATGGCCCAGAGAACTAGAAACTCCCCCACACTGCTTACAGTCAGCCCTAATTAATGTACCATTCCCAGGGGAATGCAAATCAGCATGAATTATCAAGTAGTGATCACTTATAGGGAGTTAATAATTGAGAGAGGCAGGGGGCAGCACTAGTAGAGAATCAGAATTATGGTGAATTCATCCACACTGGCTAACAGACCACAGTTTTCTATAACTCCATCAGATGACACTTTAACCATCTCAGTTAAATGAACCACTAACCATTTAATTGCTATTTCATCAAAGGCCTTGTGGAAGATCCTCATGACCACTAAGCAGTTAAAAGCTGCTGAAGGAGAGAAACACTAAGGAAAGAAAGGAGATACTCAAATATCGGGAAGGCTAAAGGAACAGGGAAAGCAAAGTAAGGAAAGACAAAGAAAAGAAAGGGGAAAAATGCCAGTGGTACTCAAGGGAAGTGAATGTGCACCCATCATTACAACTACACCTTTGGTAACTGCACAAAAACCATGTCCTACATTTATTTCTGTGCAAACCTCACACTGACATGGGTATGAATTTAGTTGTAAAATTAGTGAATGAAGTTTATGCTCCAGTCCATGAGCCAGAATAAAAAAATCAAAATGAAATGAATCTCTTGCCACACAAGAAATTTGACATTTTCACTGTATATTCATTGTTACATTTTAATAGAAAGATTTCAGGTTGGGAGATGACTTTACAAAGTCCCTTCCTTTCATCTAAATAAAAATTAGCCATTGAAGTTTAAAAAGATGTTTAAAAAATAACATACACAATAGGATGACTAGAAGTCCCTTCTTAGGTCTAGTGTAACCTAGAGAAATTTTAAAACATATTTACAGTCCCTGAACT